CTTTCGTGCCTAAAGTTGATAACAAATTTGCAATTATTTTTCAAAACATACAAAAACTATCTAATAAACTTAATCAATTAGAAGTAGTTATAGATAATTATAAACCCCAAATATTATGTTTTGCTGAACACTGGTTAAATAAGTCGGATCTTGAATTAATTAAAATTAAAGGTTATAATTTATCTTCTCATTTCTGTCGAACTCAATATGGTCACGGAGGTGTGTGCATTTTTGTAAGTGATTTTATTCGTTCTAAACCCGTTTATACTAATACTCTTCAAGTAGAAAAACTTTTTGAATATTGTGCTATTGAAATTAATCTCTCAAATGACGTCGTGTGTCTTATATGCGTTTATCGATCACCTGACCAGAATGTTGATATGTTCATCTCGCTGATTTACGAATTGATTCATAACCTTTTTGATAAATATTCCAAAATCATTGTTTGCGGCGATTTTAATATACACTTTGATAAGCAATCGAAGCCATCCATTGAATTCAATTTGAATATGCAGTCTTTTGGTTTAACTTAATTAATTAGTTAATCTTCTTCTTGCATTGATAATTTCTTCACCAATTTAAAAGACTTTGATTCGCGTGTTATAAATACCACTCTTTCAGACCATCGAGGCATAATATTAAATTTTTGTAATTTTTCAACTTCTAAATCTACCTTTATCTTATACAAACGTTATTTTGATGAATCAAATAAATTGATTTTCAAATGTCTTTTGGAAAAGGAATCATGGACCTTGCTTAACAAGTCCAAAGACTCAAATACAATGTTCGACAACTTTATTTCTACATTTTTATTCAACTTCAATCAAGCTTTTTTTCTCATTAAGAAAACCGTTTGCCCAAAAAATAATACTTCAACTCCTTGGCTAACTAAAGGGTTGAGAATTTCACCTAAAAGATTAGCATTTCTTGAGAGATTATCGGTACATAATAATAACATGGCTTTCATAATTTATTTTTTGAAATATAGGGCAACTTTAAATGATCTAATCAATTTAGCGAAGATCATATTCGACGAAAACTTGATTTTTAATTCAGCAAATAAACAGAAAACAATTTGGTCCTTAATTAACTCGGAAATCAACACAAAAACTAAATCTTCACAGATTGATTGTCTTACAATTAACGGCAACAAGATTATTGATAAGGCAGTCATATCTAATAAATTTAATCACTTTTTTGTTACCGAAGCGTCTATATTAACAAGCGCAATCAACTCGATCACCACTAGTTTGACTAAATCTTTATCCGCGCGAAATAATTCTACATTCGTTCTTTATCCTGTAAATTTAGAAGAACTAAAGCAAACCTTTCTATCGATAAAAGTTACTAGTTCAGCGGGTCCGGATCAGATACCTAGTCTTATTCTTAAAGAATTCTATCCCTTTTTCATAGATAAATTTATGTTATGTTTAAATAAATGCTTCGATGAAGAAATATTTCCATCCCACCTTAAGCATTCAAAGATGTTTCCACTTCATAAGAAAAATAATAAAGACGATATAAATAATTACCGTCCCATTTCCCTCTTGAACTCTTTCGATAAAATAATTGAAAAAATCTTGCATACTAGGTTAACGTCTTTTCTCAATAAATATAATATTTTGTTCAAGAATCAGCATGGTTTCCGAAAGAACCATTCTACTTCCCACTCAATTTATAATTTAGTTCATAACATCATTGACTCTTTCGAAGAAGCCACATATTGTACTGCGATATTTTGCGATCTGTCCAAAGCTTTTGATAGTATTTCTCATCAAAGACTTCTTGACAAATTAGAAAATTGTGGTATTCGCGGACGTTCGCTCAAACTATTTAAATCTTACATGTCTAATCGAACACAAAGCGTTTACTTAATTAACGATCACGAGCAAATAATTTCGGATAAATTGACAAGTCCATTGGGCGTGCCCCAAGGATCAATTTTAGGGCCTCTCTTATTTCTCATATATATTAATGATTTACCTCATTGTACAAATCTTTGTGATTTTATTCTTTTTGCGGATGATACCAGCGTTATCATCAAGGCCAAATCTCTAAATGAATTACAACATAAATTAAGCGTGGTTATGTCAGAAATAACGAAATGGTTTTGTGAAAATAATCTAGTTCTCAATAATGATAAGACCCAAATCATATCTTTTTGTACAAAAAATCGTTTATCCAATAATATTACTTCTTTAACCATCAATAATTCAACACATAATTTTTCGCAAGTATCAAAGTTTCTTGGTATCCATATTAATAATAATTTAAAGTGGTCTGATCATATCTTTATCTCTCTATCACCAACTTTATCTAGAACATGTTTCATGTTGCGCACCCTAAAACCCAAACTTGGTTTAAATTGCTTACTTTCAGTTTATTATAGCAACTTTTATTCTCACGTTTCATACGGCATTCAATTCTGGGGTTTTTCATCCGAACTAATTAAAATATTTAAGCTCCAGAAAAGAGCTATTCGAATAATTTTTTCCTTGCCCAGTAAAGCCTCCTGCAGACCCATATTTAAAAAATACAATATTCTAACTGTCCCATGCATTTTTCTGCTGGTAACATTAACTTTCATCAAAAACAATTCGAAACTTTTTGATATGGCTTCGTCCTCAAATTACAACACTAGACACAAACCTATTAAGGTGCGTACATATAAATTAGCCAGCTCTTTCAATACGATCGACGGTCTAGGTATTCAGCTTATGAATAAACTTCCACTCAATATTCGAAACTTAGACAGCAAAAAATTTCATGCTTCCCTAGTTAAACTTTTTAAAGACAAAGCTTTTTATGACATTACTGAATTTTCTCAATTTGAATTCAATAACTATTTTCTTGCATAATCCTTATCCTGTATCTATGTAGTCTGACCATTTGATTGCCTGTACAACCATTTTTTTTTTTCATTTTTTTATTGCTATTTTATTAATTTAAATTTTTTACGGTTTTAAATGAGTATAACTTTCAACCTTGTGCAAGAATTTTGAGATTGACTGGTGGTCAAATAGACTTTAATATGATGAACTTGATGATGAACATTGTATTTAATGTTCGAATGCTTTTTTTCAGCTCTTTTTTTTCAGAAGCGAAATTCATGCAGCTACTATGATTATTATAAAATTACTATCCTTTTAATATTAACTATGAATAAGCTTGACAAGAGCCTGAAATAATATCTATTATTATTGATTACGGCTTGCTTATGAATAAATAAATAAATAAATAAATAAATTTAATTTTCAATTGTTTTTGTTTTCTAAATGCACTTTAATTTTTAACTTCCCGTAGGGCAAGTTATAGTAATCGCAAAAAAATCGAAAATGAAAATTTTTATATATTTTAACGTTTTAGAGGTTTCTGAATATTTTGGCATACCTTAGAAAAAATTGATGTATGTGTGTGTGTGTGTGTATGTGTATGTGTGGATACAAATTTTCGTCGACGATTTCGGGAACACGGATCAACCGATTTGAATAATTCAAAAAACATTCGATTCGTATTGATAAGGAGACGTGCTGATTAGTTTTTGGCAAAGGCAGGTCTAGCCGTTCCGAAGATACGGGGCAAAAAGTGCCGAAAACGATAACTCAGTTTTTGAGAAAACGGAGCGTCCGATTTGAATAATTCAAAAAACATTTTACTTGTATTGACAAGATGTAGAATTGATCAAATTTTCATGAATATGAAAATATGATCGGTTCTTCACCGTGTCAATACAAGTAAAATGTTTTTTAAATTATTAAAATCGGACGCTCCGTTCTCTTAAAAACTGAGTTACAGTTTTCGGCACTTTTTGCCCCGTATCTTTGGAACGGCTAGACCTGCCTTTGCCAAAAACTAATCAGCACGTCTCCTTATCAATACGAATCAAATGTTTTTTGAATTATTCAAATCGGTTGATCGGTGTTCCCGAAATCGTCGACGAAAATTTGTATCCGCACATACATACACACACGCACACACACACACACACATACATCCATTTTTTCTAAGGTATGCCAAAATATTCAGAAACCTTTGAAACGTCGAGAAATGCAAAAATTTTCATTTTCGATTTTTTTGCGATTACTATAACTTGCCCTACGGGAAGTTAAAAAATGCCATTTGGCGGTCAAAAATGATCATTAGACACATGCACATCAAATTATCAGATATTTTTCAGAGATTTTAACAATAAGTATAAATTTGGTTTACATTCCTATGGGTTCCGTACCAATGTTTACGCGTTAGACGGCGACGCGGCGCTTATGCGCTTTAATATTTCGTCTTTAAGCAGTTAAAGCAGTACGATTGCTTTGAAAAAAAGTTTAGATCTTCCAAAATATGTCAAAATAAAGAAAAAAAAATTTTTTCAAAAAAAAATTAAAAAAAAAAAAAATAATAATAAATTTTTTTTTTCAAAAAAAAGTAATTTTTTGTCCAATTTATAGTTTCTCAAAAATCTTATTTTTTCGAAGTAAATTTTTTTCAAAAATGTTAATTGTTTTTAAAAAAATAATAATTTTTGGTACGGGAAGTTCCAGCAGTTTGCCTTAAGGCACGATGCCTTAATTGCCTTAAGACAGAATTCCACTTGCAGCTAGTTTCTACAGTATTTATATTATGTGCTACTTTTACAACACTTTCCGAACATGGATTTGATAATACAGATTTTTCTATAATTCCTACAGTATTCAACAAGAGTTTCCGAATGTGGATTTAATTCAATTGTTGGAAAGCTCAATAGTATCATTGTATTATCACTAAATTTTAATATCGAATCTAAAATGTTTATAGTACCCCTGAATTTCTTCAAAAAATCAGTTCCTAAAATACCGTCACCTTTTATAGACAGGTCATCATTAACTATTTGAAATATATGTCGAATAATTTTATCTCCTAAACAAAATCTAATTGTGGCTTTACCTATTGTATCTATACCTTCACCTGAAACTCCCTTGAGTTTCATTCTATCATTTATGCTATGCTCTATGTCTAAATTATCTTTAACTTTTTAAAATCTTAATTAAACTAATTTCTGCCCCTGTATCTACTAATAAATTTGTTCTATCACTAACTGAATCTAAACATTCTATATTTGCAAAAGCCAAATTATGTCTAGTGTTACCTAGACAAGAAATTTGAGCGGGTTTAAAATTTATAGCTTTACTTGTCTCAGGTTCACTAATACTAGTGGGTTTACTTGTACTTGGAACAGAATTGTCATATGAAGTGTCTACTATGTTTACTTTAGCACGTTGTTGTTCATTATATAATCGTCTACGGCAATCTTTAATAATATGTCCAAACTTTTTACAATAATTACAGGAAAGTGGTTCTGATTTTGAATGAAAGGTTGGAGTGGAATTAGGGGTGTAGGAATTTCTAAAAGGTTCGGTTTCTGTCTTTATTTGTTTATTTATCTTAGAGGAGTTTATTAATTGTTCTTCTTCAACAGCAGCTGTAATAGCTAGCTCAAAATTTTCTAACATTCTCGGTTTTAATAAAAATTTAATATCGGAGTGCAGACCCTCTTGATAAACGTGTGGGGCATGATCTCTAAGCAAATTTGAACAGATCACGTTAGCACTTGGATTTTTGCAGCGTTTGTTAATAGTTGCATCTATTAAATTCATAAGAATATTTTCTAATTGTAAAGCATAAGACTTCACAGTTTCATTAGGACCCTGTGTACATTTATTAAATTCTAATTGTAACGATGATACAGACCTACAGTCATAATATAAGTTTTCTAATGCAGTTTTAAGTTCTTCAAATGTTTTAAAAGTTTTGTATTGAATTGCTTGCACGGCTTTACCACCAAGCTTGATATGTAAAATATAATCTAAAAGTGCGGAATGATTTGTCGTATCAGTATTTTTAAATGCAAAAGTGCATGTACGAATAAATTCAGTAAATTGAAGCTGGTCAGATCCAGCGAAAGATTTGATCATATCTCTGGCATCCTTTAATGATAAGTAGGCCATATTGGTAATATTTAAATTAGGATTACTTTCGGAAACTGGAATATTTAGGATTGATTTAGAAATAGGATTAGGACGAGGATTTAAAACAACACTAACACTGTCGTTAAACGCTGAGTTCAATAAGTTTAATGAATTTGGATTACTTGAACTGAAGGTTAAAAAGTTCTCAAATACGGAATCAGTCGATCTGCTTAACACTCGCCGTTGTGGTAGTGTGAAATCTGCAGTCTCACGTTCTCCAAACATCAATAACTCTATACTTAAACGAATGTATTAGCTATGCAAATAAAAATTGTATAAAGTAATGCTAAATCCATAAAATATATTTGTTTGATATTCCAGTTAATTTTTATAATTGAATGTAAGTAATGATATAATTAAGTAATGGTATTCTAAAATTTCTATAAATTCAGTAATTAATAACGTAGAAAAGTCTAAAGGTTTGTGTCTATAATTTCAGTATAAATGCTACGTTATGAATATATCTAAAATTTATGTATCTAAAGGTTTATAATCTAGTCTAAAATTTTGAAGTTGGAAAAAAATCTAAAATTTTGAAATTTGGGAATCTAAAATTTTGTAGTATATAAATCTAAAATTTTGGTAACAAAAAATATAACTATTCTATAATTGTATCTAAAATATGGTATACGAAAATGTGCTTTTCTAAAAATTCAGACACGGCATCCTTTGGCTTGGATTTTTGAAATGGCGGACAAAATGGCGTCCTCTCGAAATTTCTTGAGAAATTCTGATTCTTATATAAAATTGTGGAGTTTTTACCTCGATTTCCTGTGCATACTTGTTTTCACTGGCCTGTTTAGTAGATTATTGGTTTAATCAATCCCAACGCGCCGCCACCATTTGTTGTGCCATGCAGCGTGAAAACGCGTATATTTATTATAAATTATCACTGAGGAAGTTTAGAAGTATATAAAACAAACACCAACAACTATATATCAAGAACGTTGAATTTTATTTAATATTATCAGATACTTTGTAAGACGAAGATTATGTGTATTTTTATTCTAAGTTGTTATCGCCAAGGCGTCTGCTGTGCAAAGAGAGCGATCCTTTGTCGTTGTCGATCAGATTTCTCTTCGAGGGCTTCGGAAGTCTTCGGAAAGCTTCGGCATTTGTTGTGTGTTGCCTGTGTCTAACGCCATAGGCTCGGTGTTTATAAGATAATTCAAAAATTGGCGCGACAAATTGTATCTGGCAAAAAGATACTTTATTTAATTTCTTTCAATTAAATTTTTATTTATAATCATGAGTTTGAATGCGGCGCTTAAGCGCTTTGATATTTCGTCTTTATGCAGTGAAAGCAGTACGATTGCTTTGAAAAAACCTTCAGAATTTCCAAAATATGTCAAAATGAAGAAAACATTTTTCTTTTCAAAAAAAAAAAAATTTTTAAAAAGTAATTTTTTGTCAAATTTATAGTTTCTCAAAAATCTAATTTTTTTGAAGTAAATTTTTTTCAAAAATGTTAATTGTTTTTGAAAAAATAATAATTTTTGGTACGGGAAGTTCCAGCAATTTGCCTTAAGGCACGATGCCTTAATTGCCTTAAGACAGAATTCCACGTACAGCTAGTTTATATATGTGTGTGTGTGTGTGTGGTGATAGCAGTCTATCATCAACCTCCGTACGGTCAACATCTAATTCTTGCTCCTTAGTTTTTATTTATTTTTACCTGAATTTACCGTTAAATCCCGTTATTTTTGTAGTTTTTTATACCTGCGCGAGTGTTTTTCCAGTACCTTCAGTTTATTAAATTTGTGATTTGTGAATTTATTTAAATATTTTATATCTTTTTATTCGAATTTTTTAAATAGTTAATTACTCAATTTATTTAGTTTCATTTTCTAGTTTACTTATTTCTTATTAAATACTTCAAAATGGTTGTTACACGGAGCCAAGTGCCAAGTCAGTCCTTAGATACAAGTGTCTCAGTTTTGGACGACTCAATCGATTTAAATTCTACTGTTCTTTGCTCAAATTGTTTTCACTTACAATCTCTTGTTCACGAAAGAGATATTAAAATTGATAGGCTGACAAAAGAATTGTCTGAGGTTAAGTTAGGGAACCAGAATCTTCAGCTCAGGATTACTGGTGTTAGTTCCGTATTAGGGAATATGAGCTCTTCAGGTTCAGTTTTTAAAGAGTCGTCCACATTTTCACGTTCTTTTTCAAAACTCTGTAATGAGTTATCTGGTTTAATAAAAAAACGAAACATAGATTTGAAACAGCTTAGGGATGAATTTTCCAAATTAGAGTCCAAAGCAAAGCACCTCGAGCAACGCGTTAATCATGATTTTGTTTCTTTCCGATAGCCACGGCAGATGGTGGTCAGAATGCTTGAGAGAATTGCTTGGACAAAAATTTGATATATTCAGCATAGTCAAGCCGGGGGCCGGATTTGCTGGCGTGGTTGGGGATATCGAGAGTCTGGTATCTGACTTTGGTCCGCGTGACCATGTTGTTGTTCTGGCTGGAACGAATGACGATTTGTCCAATTACGCTATTCGTAGTGCTTTGGAAAAGGCTCGTCGTTCATGTCAAAAGACAAACCTTTGTTTGATGACAATTCCGTACAGATACGACGACGTGCGTTGCAACGGGCTGATTTCCGATGCCAATTGATGGATCAACCGAGACTACGGTCAAGGAAAGTTCAGTAATCTTCGGATTCTTGATGTCAACAGACATGTTGGTTTGTCCGATTACACCAGGCATGGCTTACATTTTCTTTTCAACGAGAAAAGAAAATTATGTAGGGTTTTAGCTAACGAGTTGTTGAGTGTCAAGGCTGTAGCGGGAATGAAACCTTCGGTTTCTAATTCCTTTCGTGCCTAAAGTTGATAACAAATTTGCAATTATTTTTCAAAACATACAAAAACTATCCAATAAACTTAATCAATTAGAAGTAGTTATAGATAATTATAAACCCCAAATATTATGTTTTGCTGAACACTGGTTAAATAAGTCGGATCTTGAATTAATTAAAATTAAAGGTTATAATTTATCTTCTCATTTCTGTCGAACTCAATATGGTCACGGAGGTGTGTGCATTTTTGTAAGTGATTTTATTCGTTCTAAACCCGTTTATACTAATACTCTTCAAGTAGAAAAACTTTTTGAATATTGTGCTATTGATTTTAATCTCTCAAATGACGTCGTGTGTCTTATATGCGTCTATCGATCACCTGACCAGAATGTTGATATGTTCATCTCGCTGATTTACGAATTGATTCATAACCTTTTTGATAAATATTCCAAAATCATTGTTTGCGGCGATTTTAATATACACTTTGATAAGCAATCGAAGCCATCCATTGAATTCAATTTGAATATGCAGTCTTTTGGTTTAACTTAATTAATTAGTTAATCTTCTTCTTGCATTGATAATTTCTTCACCAATTTAAAAGACTTTGATTCGCGTGTTATAAATACCACTCTTTCAGACCATCGAGGCATAATATTAAATTTTTGTAATTTTTCAACTTCTAAATCTACCTTTATCTTATACAAACGTTATTTTGATGAATCAAATAAATTGATTTTTAAATGTCTTTTGGAAAAGGAATCATGGACCTTGCTTAACAAATCCAAAGACTCAAATACAATGTTCGACAACTTTATTTCTACATTTTTATTCAACTTCAATCAAGCTTTTTTTCTCATTAAGAAAACCGTTTGCCCAAAAAATAATACTTCAACTCCTTGGCTAACTAAAGGGTTGAGAATTTCACTTAAAAGATTAGCATTTCTTGAGAGATTATCGGTACATAATAATAACATGGCTTTCATAATTTATTTTTTGAAATATAGGGCAACTTTAAATGATCTAATCAATTTAGCGAAGATCAAATTCAACGAAAACTTGATTTTTAATTCAGCAAATAAACAGAAAACAATTTGGTCCTTAATTAACTCGGAAATCAACACAAAAACTAAATCTTCACAGATTGATTGTCTTACAATTAACGGCAACAAGATTATTGATAAGGCAGTCATATCTAATAAATTTAATCACTTTTTTGTTACCGAAGCGTCTAAATTAACAAGCGCAATCAACTCGATCACCACTAGTTCGACTAAATCTTTATCCGCGCGAAATAATTCTCCATTTGTTCTTTATCCTGTAAATTTAGAAGAACTAAAGCAAACCTTTCTATCGATAAAAGTTACTAGTTCAGCGGGTCCGGATCAGATACCTAGTCTTATTCTTAAAGAATTCTATCCCTTTTTCATAGATAAATTTATGTTATGTTTAAATAAATGCTTCGATGAAGAAATATTTCCATCCCACCTTAAGCATTCAAAGATGTTTCCACTTCATAAGAAAAATAATAAAGACGATATAAATAATTACCGTCCCATTTCCCTCTTGAACTCTTTCGATAAAATAATTGAAAAAATCTTGCATACTAGGTTAACGTCTTTTCTCAATAAATATAATATTTTGTTCAAGAATCAGCATGGTTTCCGAAAGAACCATTCTACTTCCCACTCAATTTATAATTTAGTTCATAACATCATTGACTCTTTCGAAGAAGCCACATATTGTACTGCGATATTTTGCGATCTGTCCAAAGCTTTCGATAGTATTTCTCATCAAAGACTTCTTGACAAATTAGAAAATTGTGGTATTCGCGGACGTTCGCTCAAACTATTTAAATCTTACCTGTCTAATCGAACACAAAGCGTTTACTTAATTAACGATCACGAGCAAATAATTTCGGATAAATTGACAAGTACATTGGGCGTGCCCCAAGGATCAATTTTAGGGCCTCTCTTATTTCTCATATATATTAATGATTTACCTCATTGTACAAATCTTTGTGATTTTATTCTTTTTGCGGATGATACCAGCGTTATCATCAAGGCCAAATCTCTAAATGAATTACAACATAAATTAAGCGTGGTTATGTCAGAAATAACGAAATGGTTTTGTGAAAATAATCTAGTTCTCAATAATGATAAGACCCAAATCATATCTTTTTGTACAAAAAATCGTTTATCCAATAATATTACTTCTTTAACCATCAATAATTCAACACATAATTTTTCGCAAGTATCAAAGTTTCTTGGTATCCATATTAATAATAATTTAAAGTGGTCTGATCATATCTTTATCTCTCTATCACCAACTTTATCTAGAACATGTTTCATGTTGCGCACCCTAAAACCCAAACTTGGTTTAAATTGCTTACTTTCAGTTTATTATAGCAACTTTTATT